TTTTAAGTCTATTCTTCATCGGAGGGGGTTCTATCAGAATTATTTTTTGATCGGAGGATTATTCTGGGTCTGACGCACAACAAGTGTTTGTCAATATGTGTCTATATTAGCATGTGTAACAGTAGTAAGTTGTTCGATTGCTAAAATGGAGGGGAAAGAAAGCGTCATACCAACTCTATTTGTTCAGAACATTCCACCTAGATACCATTGGATTGGATTGAGACAACTATTTGGTAGGCATGGAGATGTAGTTAGTTCTTACATATCAAGGAAGCTAGACAGAGCAGGGAAGCGTTTTGGTTTTGTTAAATTCTCCAACAGAAATGATGTAGTTAGAGCAATTCAAAAATTAGATGGAATATGGATTTTTGGGTACCGAATTTCAATCAATGAAGCTCGGTATAGAGCTAAGAGTCAAAGTGGGAAAATATATATACCATCACGTTCCAAAATTGCAACTTCGGTAGATCAAGAAAAGATCAATATTGCAGGATCAACTTCGGAGGATCAAGTATTAAGGAGCAGAAAATTTATTCAGGGGGATATAGATGAGGACGTAGTTCGAAAGCTTCAGAAATGCCTGGTAGGAACGATGGCAACGGTTTGTTCTTCTTGTCAGGTGGAATATAGGTTACGTGTAGGAGGCCTAGGTGAAATTAAGACCAAATTTTTGGGAGGGAGAGATTTCTTACTAGAGATTGATGATGACGAATTATACAATATCATGAAGGAGCATCACTGGTCATATTTAAATGAAGTTTTCCTGGAAGTTCACCCTTGGATAGAATCGTACAGACCGTCAGAAAGAGTAACTTAGATTAAATTATTTGGAGTGTCGTTGCACTGTTGTAATCATTCCACGTTTAAGAGGATAGCAGAGAATTGGGGAGAATTTCTAGCGTTGGGAGAAAATGCTCTACAATCAAAGGGCTGTGAGGAGATGTCTATTCTTATAGCAACAAATAGGAAAGAAATAATTGGCGAAGTGGTTGATCTGGAAGCTGGTAGAGATATATTTAAAATTAGTGTTGTGAAACAATCCACAACCATAAGTGTTACAAATGTTCGCAAGCGAGAAGAAAAAGAAAGTCCGGTTGTGTTAGATTCTGAGTCCTCAGCAGGAACTAGTAAGGTATCATCGGAGGAAAAGAATTTTGAAATGTGGCTTAAGGAAGATGGCAGTCAATTACGTTGTATGGGAAACATTCCTAGAGGCGGTAACTTCTCGTATGAGGAGGAGGAGGAAAGAAACATTGGGGAGGAAGCAATTTCAGGACTGAGGAATAAAGATTATGGAATGGGGAAGGTTCACAAGTAAAACGAGGAAGTGGTGGAACATGAGGAGATAGTGGCAGAAGATGACAGTAAGAATATGTTTATGTCAGTATGTGATAAAGAGGAAATAAAGGAAAATTATAAAGACTTGACGATATGGGAAGGTCGAATAGATACAAGGGAAGTGGAGGATGTGGTTAACATGGGTCTCTCAAACCAAAAGCTGAGCGAGAATATTTTAATTCTCAAATCCAGGCAGATCCAAAGAGCAATGGAGTGGAAAAACAAAAAATACAGTTCTCTTCAAAGCATTCAGGAGAAATTCGTAAATTCACAAGGGAAGAATAGAATTTGTCAAATGAAGAAAAGCAAGAAAAAGAAACAGGGCGAAGAATAATTAAATGAACTTGAAGGTAGGTCCTTATCTGATTCTGACATTCAAGCAGGATGCCAGAGACTAAAGAGGGGAGCGATGTTAACGTTACAGCTTGGTAGAGAATTAGGTATAGAGTTCAAAGTCTCAGAAGAGAAGTTGGTTAGGGAAATAATAGCCTTGGAGGAATTGGAAGGTGAATCTCAATCTATGTCTGTTGAATTTTAGTTGTATTCTTAAGGGGAAGTTTCGAAAATAAGTTTTTATCCTGGTTGTTAATATGTTATTTTTTTTGCCTCTAGTATGCTGCCTTTGTTTACTTTTCAGTGTACTTAGAGAGTTTGTGTGTTTAATTCATGGTTGTTCATTACTGGAGGATTGGGGGAAGAGTACTTGGATGTTTTTTCAATGTTTTACTAATTGTACTACCTGTTTTGTTATCTTTGAGTCTAGAATGGAACAAAGGGTGATGTTGTTTTTGTTGACAAAAGTTTGGATTCTACTGGTTTGAGATGGAGTGTGTCCAAGAAATTGACAATTGAGATTAGGTAGTTGGTTGTTGTTGGTTTGTTTTGGAACTCGAAATAGTGGAATCCGAGTCGATATTGTGGATTACTTCAAATCTAAGATTATAGTGTTGAATTTAAGTATCATTGTTCTTGAGAAAGATGGTTTTCGTATGGTTTTGATAAGTTGGAAAATTTGGATATATTGTTTTGTATGATGTCTATTGTGGGGGAATGATTGTACTGCAGGAGATTTTGTGGAGGCATTATTTTGCTCATTTTGGATTGTCTTAGGAGTCTTGGACAATGCATTGTGAAGAACGATACAAGGGCTGGATGTTAGGTGTCAATTAGGTCCTGCTCTGAAGAATATTAAGTGGAGGTTATTTAGTAGGTATTATAATGGAAGCGCCATTATCATTGGTGGTGTAATTGCACAGCTGGGTGAAAGACGATTGTGGTCTGGTTGGTTGGTGATTGTTTGGTATGAGTGTATGGAATTGCTTTTGTGTCTCGGTATGAGTTTGCTGGTGTCGTGAGTTTAATTGGTGATTGTAATTGTTTTGTTGTTTTTTTACCTTTGTGAGTTTTGTTGGCTGTAAAGTTTTGCTTCTTCTAGATGGTTAAGAGTTGTTTTTGTAGGGTGTGGGTTACTTGAGTTTCAGGATTCTGTTTTTGGTTCGTTGTGTTTGTATTGTTCTCTTATGTAGTACTCTTTTCCTCCAATTAGATTAGGGAGGTTTTTAATGAGTTTCATAAGTTGAACTTCGACTCTTTAATTACTTTAATAAATTGGCCTTTGCTGAGCAAAAAAAAAGTAATTGTTATTTTATGTCATTAAAATAGATAATTAAATAATAATGAATTTTTAAATTTTGTGTTCAAGTTTTTTTGTATAATTAATTATCAATAATTAAAATTTAAAATTCTATAAAAAATGATCTCAACGATTATCTATTGTATTGGGGAGAAAAATCAATAGAAATAATTGATCAATTGAATTATCATAAAGAAACTCAAAAGTGAATTCTAATTAATTAAAAAAATCAAATTATGTTTTTTTCTTCATGAATTTGTTACTTGATTTAAAAAAAATTACATTTTTAAAATTTTAATTTAATTAAAAATATAAAAATAAATATATTGATCATTCAAATAAATAAACACGAACCAAGTGAATTCAGTGGTAAAAGAATTGTTGTTATTCATTGCGGTCTTACGTACTTACCATAGATTAGTAATAAATAAATATTTTGATCTTATTTTAAGTATTATTTTTTCTAGTATTATTACGATTTATAATGTTATTTAATATTTTTTCGGAGAAGTTATACTAGCTACTACCTAGTATATATATACACTTTTGTGAATCGTAGGCACTTAGGACCTGAGCATGTTAATCCGATATAAGTTAAATTTGGGTGTGGGTAATGAGTCTATCTTGCTATTTCATTGAAAGGAGTCAATGTGAGGATAATTAAGTTTAAATGGTTTAATCATATCAAGCTTCTTGTATTTATAAGAGCTACAGGCCCAGAATGAAATGACTTGAAAGTTAAACTCAGATTTCTTCCTTAAGCATCAATTCTAATTAAGTACAGTAATCAAGAGGTGAAATTACTAGAAACAAAAATTAAGGAAATAAAGGCTTTGGAATTACCTCCAAGATCATTTTAAAGTGGGATTTTTTATTACTTCTTTTCAAAAAGCAGGAAAAGATTACTTGTGTACTCAGTCTTTTTCATGTTTCTAGGAGAAAATTTCATTCTCCCAGATATTCCAAAGCTTAGTTTTCCCAAGGTGTCATCTTATAATTCCTGCAACATTGAAAAACATATATTGTCTGACTACTATTGCAATTTGCAACTGCCTCTTTAGATGCTAAAATCTTTCTAGAATAACTAGTTTCATCCGTTATGCTTGGCTTTTTTTAGAACTTGTTGAAAGAGCACTAAAATAAGAAACTCTGTAGGTTTCAAGTAGTACTAAAAATGCACGAGAAACTTTTTAGCTAATATTTTTTTTACTAAAAACCAAAAGACTACAGTACTAGCATAAAGCTGGTGAGGCAATGAGCAAAGCTAAAACTAAACACCTAAAAAAGCTACTAATACAAGGAGTATATGTAACACCGTAAAACAGACACCCTAAAAGCAATGTAAAACTCTCAGGAGTTGATATTGCACCATAAGCTTGTTTAAAAGGATTTTTCCCCATTCTCTTCTGGTTTGGTTTTGAGCTCAGGTGTTTTTTTGTCTTGGCGATGGCATCGTGCTGTTTGGTTTTGGTCTTAAGGTGTCTAATGTTCTGTAAGTTGTGGTGTTTGCTCCCTCCAACACCTTTTAATTATTAATAAAATTTCTTTTTTCCCAGAAAAAGAAAAGCATTGTATATATAAATGGAAAGAGATGCATATCTACCTCATACAGAAAATTTCTGACTGTCAATGGGGATCTTGTAGAGTATGAAACACCTATTTTTGGTAATCAAACCTACGTGCCTCCCCACATAATGGTTTCTAAAACAGAAGTTCCGGGATGGATTCTTGTTTATAAGTGCAGCACAGTCAAGGAAGAAGGATAGAGTTATACTTTGGCTGAATATTTCTGCAGTTATGTAAACTTTAAACAATGAACCACTATTACACTTACTACTACTTTTTAGTATTCTCTAAAACTGCTTAAATGATCCTTTTGATTTATGCTCGGTGTTTATACGATATTCGAACTTGAATATGGATTAGTGTTACTTTAAACCCTAAATCCCACTTTTCAATTAACTTGCTAAAACTTACACTCATTGTGTTAGACTAATGTCCATAACAGAAAGCTAGCCGTTGTTAACAAATTAAGCTATTCTTCCTAGAAGCAACAGACTTGGCAAACATTTCTGCACACTCATTAGCCTACCTAGGAACATAACAACCTTCCAACAGATAAGATACTCAAAACATGCAGAAATAGAGCTAACACACACAAAATCTCCATGACACAGAGGCATCAGGCTTAAACCAATAAACAACATTTTTGGCAATCCGATCCACTTGGTCCTTGGAATTCAGAAAAATTATGGTGGCTTCTTTTACAGCCAGCAACTCATCAAGAACAGGATCAGATAGTTTTAGCGGGTGGTAGGAGCATTCTATTGGTTGTGTCGGGTTTTGAATTGTTTATGAGTAGAGGAGGATCATTTGAGTTGGAAAAGTTATCCTTCACTACTTGGTTGTCGTTTGGTTAAATGTTTCTCGTGAGGTATTTCTTGAACGTTTCTTTTGATGGTTGGTCGAGCGGTGAGGTCGCAGTATTTATCTGTTTTTCTATATAGAGTTTCTTTGGCGTTCTGTTTTGCTAATGTTAGCTGGTTGGTTTTTGTACTTTAATGCATCTATTTGTTTTCAATGGTTTGCTATTATTAATAAAGATATAAATCTTTTTGCTTTGCCAAAAAAACAATAGTTTTAGCAGGATAGAGAAACGAGCAAACACTTCCCAACACCATCTTGCAGAATACTGATATTTCAATGAAGTCTTTGCCTCAGAAAAAGAAACGGTAAAAATACTGATACATTCTTTCAATTCTTTAATTAATAAGCTAAAACCTATATTTTTTCGCTAACTTGTTAGAACTTGAAACCCTATTTATAAAGTTACATACAGGCACAAATAATCTGGATTTAGATAGAACAAATAAAATGAAATCGTGTTGCTTGTTTTGCTATATTGTGCTAACCTTATTTTGCTGTTATTTTCATCGCATATCATATATATGTAAGTATATAGCCTCAACTATAGATGCTTGCATATAGAGTTCCTTGTCCTTGGTTTGATAACCCTAGCACTATCGGTAGATTAATTAAGCTTGCTTACTTACTTTTACTGCATCTTCATGCTAGCTAACTCGTGCCCTAAACCCTAAATGCCAAGTAGAAGTTGATTAATGGGTGGAATCATTTGAATAAGCAACAAATTTAGATTATTCTTACAAAGTTGGTAAGTTTTATTGTGTTTTTATAATATGCCATTTTCAGTCCCACTTTCTTTCACTGTCTTTAGCTTTTAATCTGATGTCATCGCCGATGAGAGTTGAGCCAACAAACACTACATAGTGGTTGACGGCTAACACTGATATTAAGATCCCTAGTGTTACAAAAATCTATCAATCATGCATTCTCATAAATATTTGAGCTAAAAATGATATAGGTCACTTCACGAATTTACAATTACTTTAATTTTCCCATCATTGACCTTAAAAGTTGAGAAAACTATACCAAACGGTAACAATGACAGCAAGGAGCAAGTAATCAAGAAGCTTTAAAAACTCTGATTGAAATATGGTTCAGTGACCCTTAGTTCTAGTGTCATTCCAGAAGAGATCAAAGTCTTAAGTGGTCTCTGTCATAAAATCAACAGAAAATCCTTATATATTAGCAATAACTGTGAGTAAACTTGGCTACAAGGCCAATAGGATACAATGCATGAATGTCTTGGGGAAAGTGAACAACCCCTACAAGTAATTATAATTCAAATTGTGAAAGATATGATGAAATTAGCATAGATTTTCAGACCCCACTTCCTAACTTTTTTTTTTTCTGATTTCTATTAGGTATGTTGGGTTATGAATGGTTGAAAAGGGTGCAGTTGGTGAGCCATGAACGCTCGCAAATACAATTCACTGTACTGTATTCTTATGAACTCTTTATGGTGACCACTCTATATTCCTATTCTTTTAATGTTTAATACACCTCAGAATTAACAATGTGGAGTAAACAACATGATGCTTTTAGCCTTTTACTGCAAATATGAAAGCTTTGACCAATAGATCCATTCGTGTTGGCAAGTTGAACAGAAAATGCGCTGCTGATGGAAGCTGCTGGACGGACCTCCATGGAAGGTTTCATGAATTAGGTCGATGGAAGCTTTTTGAAAACTTGGGGTGCGTTTTCTAAGTCAACCTTCATGTGTTCATACTTCATACTCAATAGCATCACTTCATTTGGATGTAAATAAAGATTAAATTAAACTAAAGTGACTTTCCCTTCCAACAATACCATCTCTAACATTAGAAACTCTTTTAGAAGTGAAACGTTACACATAACCTTATTGATAACTGTTTAATGAATTTTAAGAGGTTGTTTTATTTCTTCATTGGTAATGGAAATTAGGACCCAGAGCTGTAAATGTGGCAGATGAAGTGTAGAAAGTCTCGAGTTTAGATGTATTGGGTAGAAACTTGCAAAACAGTTGTTAAGTTGGCACTTCAACCATGGTTTTTTAATAATGATAAAAGAATTAAAAAGCTGTTTAGGTGACATCAGTTAACTCTCCAAATTCTTTATTTTAAACCCTTGTTCTATTTTATGTGAGTAGATGATCCACCCGACAAGGAACCCTAGTTAAAGAAGTAATCTCTGTGTTTTTTCCTCTTAAAAAAAAACTAAAAATCTTCTGCAATCTTTCTTGATGAATCTGTTAATTATATGTTTTCCCGTTTCCTTGAACAAAATCTTTGTTTGCATAGGTAAGGGTAAAAGTTTTTGCTGACAGAAGAATGAGGTAAGTGAAGGAGAAAATAAAGGTGACATATAGAAGACATATAGAGTGTTGTTAATTCTCTTTGTTGTTAGGGTTTGACTTGGAGGTCATTGATGTGATGCTGTATAACGAGCTTAGGTCAGAAAAAAAATGGTAACTTATCAGGTAAGAAAGTTGAGATTTTGGACAAACAACACCCTCTGAATTATTGTCTGTATACGCGGAGCAGCCATTGATGTTAACAGCATCTTGAAGAGTATCTATAATTCAATAGTTTTGGTTGAGCGTCTATGTGTGTGTCTATATATATATATATATAACCTACGGAGCTTTCTTTCTTTCTTTCCTCTTATTATTATAATGTAGGGGTAGAACTATATCTCAACAGAAGTTGAATATTTTTAACAGCTTTAAGTTATATATATAATTTTACCTTTATTATTTGTTTATTTTTAAAAATATAAATGATAACATCAAATATGCATATTTCTATATTTATATGAAATAACAAATTAAAAATTAAATTACAGAAAATAATAAAAAATACGATTTTAAAAAGTGCAAAAGACATAACTATCACATAATCACAATAAAATGCGACGTTCCTTCAAATATCGAAATACATCCACGAGCGATGTTGTACTAAAGATCCTTGCAATATCTCTTTCAATATTGATAAGCATGCAACTCTAAAAAAATTCATCCTTCATTCTGTTGCAAAGTGTTGTCTTGATGATATTCATTGTAGAAAAAGCTCTTTCAGCACTTGTTGTAGAAACTGGGAGAGTCGATAGAAGTTTGACCGTCGGAATATATATGGATAAGTGTTCACTTTCTTAGTATCCACTAACCACTGACTTAGGTAAGAGATTATCAACAATTTTCTTAGACCTGAATTCCAAGATAACTCCACCTCATAATGACACAATTATGTTCGTAAATCATTCTTTTCAACTTCCGTGAAATCCTCTGGATAAAATTTATTCACAAGATTGCAAAAGTCTTCAACCTTGAAAAATTTGTTACCATATCTTGGCTCCAAAGCACAAATAAGAGTTAATAACTTTATCGACTTCTCATTAAATCTACTGTTTAACTCTTATAGTTGAACATCAACTGTAGCATAAAAAATTTCTACTCGATAATGATGTTCAACTGTAAAATGATCTTGTTGTCGTCGAGTGCAACCTTCTCTTTCTCTATAAATAGAACTCATATATGGGATATCTATGTTGTGACTTTCAAAAAATGCAGTAATCTCCATAAAAATATTATTACATCCATCATCTCTAAATTTCTGCAAAAGTATATTTGAAATCTCAACAAAATGTATTGAATTCAAAATATCCTTAGATTTTCGTTGTAATGATTGAGAAAGTGAATTAGTGATTTCTAATATTTTCTTTATAGGATGTAAAAAGAAGACAAAATCAAAAGAAGTCAAAGTTCTCCAAAGTTGTCGCCGCTTCTCCATGTTCAGAAGATGTACTTCCTTCATCAATGAGTTTATATATAACAACACAAGTGACACTAAACATTTTTATCAAGCTTGAAATTGATATCAAGTAAGAACCCCATCGAGTATCACATGCCCTCTGCAAATTATTTGTTTGATTCAAACTAGATCCAGTTTCAAGTTGTTATTCTTTAATCAAAAGATTTATCTAGTTAGAATAAACATTTTTTAGTTCATCAATGCGCTTATATGAGGCAAGAACAACATTGATAATAAAGGATAGCTTGGAAAAAATTGATAAACAAATATAACCTCTTTCACTATAGCTACTAGTGCCAACTGTAAACGATGGGAAAAACAATGCATATAGTAAGCAAAAGGACACTCATAGCTAACTAATATTCTTTATGTCAAAGCAATAATGAGAAAGAACGAAAAATATATCATCTTTTAAAGTCATTGCTAAAGTATTAGGAACATGAATAATGCTAAAAACGTTCCTTTACTAGACCGAAATTATCAACATACCGTAAAATAATATGCACTTGTTGTTTTCTTACTACATCCCCTGCTTCATCAATAATAGCACAAAATTTTCTTCACCAATTTCATCACGAATTGCTCTCTTAATTTTCTCTGTCAGAATATGTAAAATCTCCTTTTATATCTCAGGCGAAGTGTAAGAAGCATTTTTTAGAGCATTTTCTAATACAACTTTTTAAACATCTTTATTATAAGAGGCTAATTGTTTCACGAGTTCAAGAAAATTTCATCGGTTAGATGAAGATTCACTCTCGTCATGACCTCTCGTTGGTAGCCCTTGTAAAGATAGCCAACACAATGCATCTATAGAGGTTTCAAGTCTAAGCTATTATTAGCAATTTATAATGATATTTACTTATGAAACACTTGTGGCAGGTGTCTAGACTAGTTAAGAAAATCATCCAATTCTTCCTCATCAATTTTATGAGGTGAATTAGTGTTGAACCATGTTTTATAATATCCTGATATAACAAATTAAGGCAAAAATGTTTTTGGACTTGATTGAATTTGTTCAAAGTTTTCAAAAATAATTCAAAGTCATTAAACTAGAATTTTAACACAAAACAATTTTCTGGGTACGTAGTACCAATACTGTTCTTACAATATCGATACTACATGAACAATATCGATATTGTTCATGTGGTACCGATACCAAAGGTAAGAGAAGTATCGATACTCTCTAGGTAGTATCAATACTACCAGATATTTTTCAAATTGCTCAAATTCCATAATGCAAAATAGGTATCGATACTCAAGGGGTACCAATACTACTTTACATAGTAGTATCGATACCATGAAGCATAGTACCCATACTGGTCAAGCCCAATGGTCTTTAACGGCTAATTTATTTAAATATTATAAAGGTAGTACCAATACTCATGAAAGAAGTATCGATACTTCCTGTTCTGGACAGTTTTATTTTGCAGAAAATTAATCCCAACGGCTAGAAATGGCCACAAACTCATCCCACATATAAAAAAAAGTTGAGGACACTTGAAGAAAGTTAC